GAGAGCCTGTCACAGGACCTGCTGCTCTCACCTGATCATTATTATTAGTCTTCATATCACTATAATTTGATTTATGGTTTCTTTCAGAAGAAAATTCATTGGTTTGGTCACAACTTATAACCACAAATATTCGTAGTTATTGTTATAGTCATTACTCAATCCTCGTATCAAACTTGAATTGATTATGCTGCCACTTCCATTGTTATTCTTAAGAACGTTACAGACAACATCTTATGGACGGACTATCAGTCGTGAATTCAGCGTACAAAATTTGAAACAGAGGAGATTATTAGTCTTGAAGATCATGGTTGAGAGGGTTTCTTGTGCAATGTGACAATTGCAGCACCATGATATATAATACAGACACTAATATTATTGCTTTGCCAAATATAATAACCTGCACTAGAAGTAGCAGTAGTTTTGGAAGCTGTTGACGAATTATAATGTAAACCACTGGCACTGCTGCTTTCTTATTAATAATAAATAGATCTGTGGGTGAGAGATCACAGTGCATGCATATAGTACCATTGGCATTCATATATATATATATATATCCATATAATTAATTATTAGTAACAAGTCTTGTCTGCATTTCATCATGTCTCTCCTGAGCTCTCTTCCTGATCATGAGATTCCGTCTCTTCATGTTCATGACGTTGATGATACCCAGCTTTTGATCTTTACCATTACCATTACCACCACCAATATGACGTAGAGGTACTGGCAATGGCATGGCCTCTAGCCCCATCAACTTGGCTACCACTCCTGGTTTGCACCACACCACGCTCTCCCCTGCTAAAGTGGCTGGCAAAGGCAATCTACTAGGCTTATTATAACTACTACTACTTGTATCATTATCATCATCCTCATATAATGCTACTTTCCCTGATAGACGACCACGACAGTCGCTCCTAGGCCTGCTGCAACATACGTCTGATTTTCTTCCACCACCTGCACCAGCAGCTAAGCTGTTTCTGAAGGAGGAGCGGTACATGGCATCCTTGCCATCAAGAGAGAAGCGAGGGTACTGATTTAATGCATTCCTTGCAGACCTTAAGATATCAGAATTGTTAACGCAAGACATTCTACCCTTGTAGTACTTGTTCTTGTTGTAGTCTTTCAGCTTTGAATACTTTGATCTTGCTGCTATCTCCTCTTCCAAATCTAACCGCAATATCATCTCCTCCAACGTCGGCTGTGGGCTTTTCTGATGATGATCATGATTATGATCATGATCTGAATTATTAATATAATTAGAAGAAGCAATATTATCAATATTGTGATTAATATTTTGCTGCAAATAATAATCATAATTAGTAGGAGAGCGAACAACAGGAACTGCAGGATTAATAATATTATTAGTGGAGGACATATCAGCTGCAGTAGAAGTAGTATGATGATGATGAGCAGCAGCAGCAGGGCCAGCGGTGCAACTGGTCCTCTTGTGATGTTGGTTGAGGGTAGAAGTTGAGCCATCGTCGTTGCAAAAATTTCTCAACCCTTTCTTCATCTTGGCTCCCAGAGAGTTCTTGATCAGAAACAAGGACAGCTGGTCTCTCATTGATCAGACAGAATATATCAGATCGATCGGCTAAGCTGCTCCTTACTAACTATATATATATATATAGCTACTAAATCATCTAGCCTAGCCTAGCTTCAAATAATATATATTTTTTAGCTAGCTAGTGCAGCAGGGGATCCGATTCTGATTTTCTGAAGAAGATGAGGTGCTGGATCGAGACAGAAATCAATATGTTATATACAAGTTAACGTGAAAATTGTGGGAGCGGTGGGGTGGGACTTTAGTTATGCTATATTTTTGAACCAACCAGCGCCTCTAGATACTAGATAGAGATAGCCTTAATAGCATTCACATGACAAAAGCGAGAGGCTTCACAAGTTTTGCCCTTCCTCCTGAGCTGGTCTCTGCAAACTCATAATCTCTTTACTTTGCATCAATCAATCAATCCAATAGCAATCTGTCTGTCTATATACGTACGTCTCATAAATTCATATATATATATAGACATAGTAATTAACGATAATAAATATAGTTTTCACTCACTCCAATCGGTTGAGGGAAGATCATCATCATTCATTCGAGCTAACCGTTAAAGAAGGTTTTAAAAAGGATTTAGTTCATGGATAAATACTAAGGATCCTCGCTAGTCGGGATCCAGTCATCCTTACTGTCAATGATACAAGCTCTAATAAGGAAGGGGGAATAGAATCTAGCGACATTAAACAAAGGAGGAATCGAATTATCAAACTAAGGACTTTGGGTGCATAAGTAAATGCTCTTATTAATTACAAACCTCTTGCTTACCGTCAATGACTTTACCACACATATTATAGTTTTAAATATTTAATGGATGGTTGATTGTTGGATTAGTAAGTGCAACAAGAAGGTGGGTGTATCATGCATGGTAGCATGGTTCACGAATTTTTTTAATAAATAAAAAAGTTGTACATGTGTAAAAGTGCTATTGGGCCGCATGAACCAAGTAGCATGCATGCTGGAGTTGAAAAGATTAAAAGCTCCACCCTTTTATGCTCAATTGCTGATGGAAATCTTGTGCACAATGTATCATTTATCTTTTTTGGTCAAAGTAATAATATTGCAAACAAAAATTCAAAATTTTTCAAACAAAAAACGGAAAAGGACAATTTAATAGGCCTGGTGGTTGCAAAGCAGGAAGGATTTCACCAAGAGAAAGAAAAAGCAAAGCAGGCCGGATTGGACCCAAACTTATGAACAACGGGCCGTGTCCATGGGCCTGTTTTGACATCCGAAGTGCTCCTTCCCCAATCTACCCGTATCCAAGGAGACGACGGCCATAACTTAATTGATTTTGCAGATTTTGATTTCTATAATTTCCGATAAAACCATCAAAATTCTCAGCCTCAGCCTCAGCCCTCAGGTGATCCATCTATGTTTTGTTAATGTTATTTTCTTCGTTTGGATTTGCATTTCGTGTTTTTGAATTGTACTTATAGATGAGATTTGTTCTCTTAATTCTTAAATCGATCTCTGCTTCAGTTTGTGTATGTATGCATCAAAGGTAGATTCGAATGCGATGTAAACAAATATAACATGATTTGATCCGTGATTTGATCAATCTGATCCACATGTGCAGGACCAAAGATGAAGGCAGCTCTGCCTCTGCTACTATGTTTGGTAGCTTTGCTTGTTGCGCCTCAGATTCTCTCGGGGTTTCCCTTGCCTTCCACTTCCACAGTGCCAGCTTTCCTCTGGTCACCCCATTACGATCAGTATGTACTACTTCAGCTTACTACTTTATAAATCAAGTCAAGTTTCAGAATCTTAGGCTGCTCTGTTTTTTTGCCCAAACTTCTGAAAATACTTTAACACAACCTGTTGCTGCCTTTCTTTTACAAGTATATAGGTCACTTTTATTTATATTTGGAGGGCGAAAAAAAGAAAAGAGAATTTGACATACACTAACGCTCGACTTTCTATCAAATTAATTTCCGTTCAATTTGAAATAACTTGTAGTTCTTGCTAAATCATTCTTTTTTGTTCCTCTATTTTTCTCTAAATTGTGGAGTGGCTTCCGGTTGAGATTGACTAGTAAAAGCAAGATGTGTGGGTGTATCAACTCATAAGTTGCCACTAAAATGAGGATCTACTAAGGAAAACACTTGACATTTCTTGGTTAATGGAGGGATGCTGCACTACATTTTGCAGTTGTAGCTTCCCTTTTAACTAAAACTCCCCTTTTCTTCTATCCAACTTATTGTTGGATTTGGCTAATAGGTGTGATGCAATATGGTTAATTCAAAGATATATGTGCTCCTATTCTTTTTGCCTCCAATATTGAGAACTTTTGACATTTTATATTCTTTTTTCTATTAAGAAGTATCAAAGACAGTGATACTTTATCAAATTGAACATGTTTTCAGTTGTTAATGCAAGTATCAACTGAAAATAATTGTGTTAACAAGTATCAAGCAGGATCTGAAATAATTACTCTGGAGTTTTGGTTATTTTGTAAAGTTGCATCATGTTTTCAGTTGTATTCTCGTCCTTACTGTCAATGATACAAGCTCTAATAAGGAAGGGGGAATAGAATCTAGCGACATTAAACAAAGGAGGAATCGAATTATCAAACTAAGGACTTTGGGTGCATAAGTAAATGCTCTTATTAATTACAAACCTCTTGCTTACCGTCAATGACTTTACCACACATATTATAGTTTTAAATATTTAATGGATGGTTGATTGTTGGATTAGTAAGTGCAACAAGAAGGTGGGTGTATCATGCATGGTAGCATGGTTCACGAATTTTTTTAATAAATAAAAAAGTTGTACATGTGTAAAAGTGCTATTGGGCCGCATGAACCAAGTAGCATGCATGCTGGAGTTGAAAAGATTAAAAGCTCCACCCTTTTATGCTCAATTGCTGATGGAAATCTTGTGCACAATGTATCATTTATCTTTTTTGGTCAAAGTAATAATATTGCAAACAAAAATTCAAAATTTTTCAAACAAAAAACGGAAAAGGACAATTTAATAGGCCTGGTGGTTGCAAAGCAGGAAGGATTTCACCAAGAGAAAGAAAAAGCAAAGCAGGCCGGATTGGACCCAAACTTATGAACAACGGGCCGTGTCCATGGGCCTGTTTTGACATCCGAAGTGCTCCTTCCCCAATCTACCCGTATCCAAGGAGACGACGGCCATAACTTAATTGATTTTGCAGATTTTGATTTCTATAATTTCCGATAAAACCATCAAAATTCTCAGCCTCAGCCTCAGCCCTCAGGTGATCCATCTATGTTTTGTTAATGTTATTTTCTTCGTTTGGATTTGCATTTCGTGTTTTTGAATTGTACTTATAGATGAGATTTGTTCTCTTAATTCTTAAATCGATCTCTGCTTCAGTTTGTGTATGTATGCATCAAAGGTAGATTCGAATGCGATGTAAACAAATATGACATGATTTGATCCGTGATTTGATCAATCTGATCCACATGTGCAGGACCAAAGATGAAGGCAGCTCTGCCTCTGCTACTATGTTTGGTAGCTTTGCTTGTTGCGCCTCAGATTCTCTCGGGGTTTCCCTTGCCTTCCACTTCCACAGTGCCAGCTTTCCTCTGGTCACCCCATTACGATCAGTATGTACTACTTCAGCTTACTACTTTATAAATCAAGTCAAGTTTCAGAATCTTAGGCTGCTCTGTTTTTTTGCCCAAACTTCTGAAAATACTTTAACACAACCTGTTGCTGCCTTTCTTTTACAAGTATATAGGTCACTTTTATTTATATTTGGAGGGCGAAAAAAAGAAAAGAGAATTTGACATACACTAACGCTCGACTTTCTATCAAATTAATTTCCGTTCAATTTGAAATAACTTGTAGTTCTTGCTAAATCATTCTTTTTTGTTCCTCTATTTTTCTCTAAATTGTGGAGTGGCTTCCGGTTGAGATTGACTAGTAAAAGCAAGATGTGTGGGTGGATCAACTCATAAGTTGCCACTAAAATGAGGATCTACTAAGGAAAACACTTGACATTTCTTGGTTAATGGAGGGATGCTGCACTACATTTTGCAGTTGTAGCTTCCCTTTTAACTAAAACTCCCCTTTTCTTCTATCCAACTTATTGTTGGATTTGGCTAATAGGTGTGATGCAATATGGTTAATTCAATGATATATGTGCTCCTATTCTTTTTGCCTCCAATATTGAGAACTTTTGACATTTTATATTCTTTTTTCTATTAAGAAGTATCAAAGACAGTGATACTTTATCAAATTGAACATGTTTTCAGTTGTTAATGCAAGTATCAACTGAAAATAATTGTGTTAACAAGTATCAAGCAGGATCTGAAATAATTACTCTGGAGTTTTGGTTATTTTGTAAAGTTGCATCATGTTTTCAGTTGTATTCTCAACATTTCATCTATTTTGTTAGTTCTTTAAGAAACATAACCTAGTCTTTAAGGTTCAGTTTCAAGCTTGGAAAATTAAATTTTCACTCCTTGAAAATTTCAGCAACTTATCACTTTCAGTTTCTTCCTCAGAGAACTGGTGACCCTAAGGGCCTTAAAATTGTCTAGGTACTTTGAGGAGGCAAAAGATGACCTGGGAGAGGAGAGTGAGGTGTTCAGGATACTCTTCGAGGGAAGCAGTTTATGTATTTTTAATTTAGCTCTTGAGAAAAAAAAGGAAATTAAAAACTGATTTACCATCAAACTCTTGGATACAGTCAAACCATGTTGTCTTTTCTGCATGTGGTATCTCTTTTGATGGTGGTATACTGTTACTTTGTGATTTTGTCAAAATGATAAGGGCATTGGTAGCATGCATCGTTTACGTGATTTTTAATTTCATTAAAAAAATTCTTTGGCCCATATTATAGTGCCCTTTGTTCCTCATTGTGTACTGATTACGTGATTTCACACAACAGAGTGAAGGCAGCCATAAATTACCAGACTATCTCTCCAATGGATTTAGCTAAGTCTGTTCTTTCAGAAGGTGGCTGGTCGAACATACTGGTATTTTGTTTTCCTTTTTACAGTGATAGTTTACTGCAGTTAGTTTTTTACTTTTTATACTTGTTTTATAGGAACTTCTAAAAGAGAGAAGTTGTCTCTTTGGTTTTACATTTGTTTTGCATTCTTAAGTTTTTAGCACTATTGATATTGTCTTCTAAGTTGTATGTATGTATTTGTTTTCAACTTCATAGTGCTCTGGAAACAAATTTCATCAGCCTTTGGAGCTGGCTCTTGTCTTCGTTGGTAGAGAGGTAAGAATTTTGATGTATTCTTTTCGTCGTGTAACTTCCCTATACATGTTCCCAATCCATTAAAAGTTACTTCATATTTGAAAATCCTTTGCTGTGACGAGAATGAAATACAGTGCTGAGCAATTTGTTCTTGTTTGCTTACATGTCTAGCTACTTTATGTGTTTTTATTTTATGGGACTTAATTGTGACTGCTTTTCTAGAATCAAAACAGTTGCTTGCTTTGCATAAAGTACAAGACTAAGGAAATAACATGAAATTGGTATTTTAACTTCCTAGACATTTTTGAATGATTATAAGCATCACATTCTCTGAGAACCAATTAGATCTTTCAGAGTCATAATTGATACAGCTTTCACTTTTTGGGTGAGGTTTTTTATTTACAAAGCAATACAGTGAAAACCTTTTGCTGTTGTGTCTATATCTTGTGCTACTAAATTAATACCTTTGTTTTCTTAGTTACAATCTTCAGATATTCCTGCAAACAAACATGCAGATCCAGCTCTTGTGGACTTGCTCAAAGTAAGTATAGAGTTTGCCTAATTGCATCGGACTTTTGGTTGAAATTTATGATGAAAATTTCTGCTTTAATAGCTACAATTCCATGGTCTTGAACAGGGTTCTTTCACAGGATCCAATTTCTCAATGGCCTTCCCATATGTTGCTGTACCAGAGGAGGATGCCATGGAAAATTCTTTGGTGTCAGGGATTTCGGAGACTTGTGGGCAGGATTTTGGATTCAGTAACGTTGCTTTCTTGGAGTCGTGCTCTATTGAGGGTGAAAATTTTCAAAAGCTTGCAAACCTGCAATCGTTCCATGTAAATCAATTTGACAATCATGTGTTATACTATATACTTTTTAGGTCTATGAAAAAGATCTGATATCTTTTTTCCTCAATAACATTGTGCAGGATTATCTTGGTTCAAGGACGGAGAAGAGATCCAATGGAGAAGTAGATTTGGTTGTGTTCTGCCATAAAGGATCTGGTTCTTCCAAAGAACTTGACCAAACACTTTCGGAGGGTATGTTAAGTTGAAACTGTTAGTATGTAATAATGCATATATATCATGGAAGTTCTTTGGTTGTGTACACAAGTCACACTGGTCTAGGACACTGTCATGCAAATCTTTCAATTGGATGTGCAGGTAAAATTTTTTCCGAGCTTATTAGTTCCATGGATCAGTCTGGGGCAAAATATGGAGTTCTATATGTTTCAGATCCCAGTAAGTCAATCCAATATCCTTCTTATCGAGAATTGCAAAGGTTTCTTGCTGAAAGTGCTTCAGGAAATGCATCATCACTCCTTGAAAATTTCAGCAACTTATCACTTTCAGTTTCTTCCTCAGAGAACTGGTGACCCTAAGGGCCTTAAAATTGTCTAGGTACTTTGAGGAGGCAAAAGATGACCTGGGAGAGGAGAGTGAGGTGTTCAGGATACTCTTCGAGGGAAGCAGTTTATGTATTTTTAATTTAGCTCTTGAGAAAAAAAAGGAAATTAAAAACTGATTTACCATCAAACTCTTGGATACAGTCAAACCATGTTGTCTTTTCTGCATGCGGTATCTCTTTTGATGGTGGTATACTGTCCACTTTGTGATTTTGTCAAAATGATAAGGGCATTGGTAGCATGCATCGTTTACGTGATTTTTAATTTCATTAAAAAAATTCTTTGGTATCTCTTTTGATGGTGGTATACTGTTACTTTGTGATTTTGTCAAAATGATAAGGGCATTGGTAGCATGCATCGTTTACGTGATTTTTAATTTCATTAAAAAAATTCTTCATACGGCCAGGAGTGACACATATTAGGTGGTCAGTGAAACCTACATATTTTAAACTTATGAACTGAAGGATTGAGTCGTAGAAATAAGCCAAAACTTGACATGAAATCCCAACTGTTCCTGATTTGTTGGAGCCATAACAGTCTATTCCAAGATTTCTTGGGTGATGGTAAGAGCAAAGTAACAATTCTTCATGATTGCTTCTTCCAAAATCAGGCACATGGTAAGTGCAATAAAGCAGCAGCAGCAGGTAGCAAAGGGGTGATTGGTAGTAATGGCTAGTGCTGCTGCTGTTGCAACAGCTGCATGATTGCTTCTTCCTATCTCTCTACAGTCCACATTGTACTCTGATATTTCTTAGACAAAATGACTTATTTTGCCACTCCATGCATATATATAGGGAGCTTCAGTTGAGGGATCCCTCAAATAAGCTTATTTGAGGGACAACCTTGTAGGGCCCACTTTGTATTTTATTTCACCAATCTAAACCATCTATTTTGTAGATATTCATTTAAAGATCATCTCTACAAAAAATCACTTGAATCCGAAATCATTTGACCACTCAATTGAAATATTGAAATTGTAGTACTTTCTTGAAGCACCGTGTTCATTGATTTTGTAGGACACAATTGGATGTCAAAACGGTTTCCGATTTGTCTAAGTTTTTGCAAGGATGATCTATGGATGTAGACTTAAAAAATAGATGGTTTGGATCGCTGAAAAAAAATTCGTAGTGGATCCTAAATGGTGTCCCTCAAATATTTATTTGAGGGATCCCTCAATAGAAGGGGACTATATATATATATATATATATGGGCGCTCTGGTAACTAGTACTTGTCCTCGGGAAGTCGGAATGTCCATTCCACAATTATTCTTTTTATTATTTTTCTTTTCTTTGGTCCATAGATGCCTCACACTCACACATGCATGTTCAGATATAGTGATGCGTGCATTTTTAATGACAAGTATGCAATTCAACAGCCTCCTGTTCTTTACAGATATGCAAATAATATGACTGAGATGCAGAGTCCTGACGTTGTTTCTTCTTGCAATGATGTTTCAGGGAATCGTTTTGCTTATAATCTTAATATCGGGCATTTGTTGTATGATGGGCATCGACACTCCAACAAGATTTGAGGCACCCCAAGAGTCTTGACTTGTATGTGCAAGAAGATAACACCTATCTGTTGTGGTGCTGGGGCTGGGTATTGGGTCTTAGGCATCACTCAAAGTAGTTGCTTGTTATTATATATAGGGGCAGTGGGTTGTTTCCTTGTAATATTTGTGTTTTTTTTCTTCTCGCTTTTCGAAAACCTTGTAATATTTGTTCACTTGGTCAAGAGCGTTCTATTATGTTGGCAATAATGATTTAGGGCTATCGTTAAATGTGTATCCTCCTGATAATGATTTTGACCCCGGTCGGTTATCTATGGCTGTGTAATTGATTGAAGTACAGAAATTTTATCCTGTGCAAGAGCCAATTACTCATTCCTTGTCGACATGGAATAATTCCTTTCAAGTGATTTGATGCACGGGTACCCCTACTAGTACTACCCCTTGTAATGAAATTCGATTAGATTATTTACTTCTCGGCTTATCTCATCTTTGGACTCTGGGCAGGGCAGAGCCATAGTAATAGTAAACCTATAATTACAGGTTAAGTTAATTAAAACTTGATATCCCATGAACGTAGTTACGTAGGGAGCTCCCTGCTGCTTGCTATTATTGAAAGGCCAATTATATAAGAGCTACTTCCGGGATCTCGTGCTTTTTGATAATGGGTTATTTTGTGTTCCTACTTCTACCGATTCCTAGGTATATATACAGGGAGCTTTAGTTGAAAGATCCCTCAAATATGTTTATTTGAGGGACATTTTTGTAGAGCCTTAAGATTACGGATTACTTAAGATTAAAATGTAATAAGATTATTAACTCATCTTGTGATTCTTGTACTTAATTAAACCACTAATTAAGTGACTTGATATATATGAATTATATAGAAAATTTACATATATATGCATGCATTAATTACTTCCTGCTGAACCAGTGAATATGGCACCTTCTGCATATGCAAGTGGCTTTCTTTTTATTATTAAAACAGCTCCAATCTATCATTTGCAAATTGTAAGTAGTACTATCTAGCTAGTCTGTCTGAAAAAATGTATATGTAGGAGGAAAGGGAAAGGGAAAGGGAGGGAAGGATATATCATTCCCTTTTATTAACCAAAGTCATCATTTTATATATCATTCTCTCCTCTTAATTCCACCATCCGCCATACAATAGAAGGGGACTATATATATATATATATATATATATATATATATAGATCTTATTTGGGATGATTTTTTGATATAAACAAAACGAGTGAGGAATTGAACTTAGGAGCTCGAGTGCAGAGAAAAATATTTTTAACCACTTGAGGTACAAGCTCCTTGCACTTGGAATGATGAGACCATGATAATATATCTCTCATATATATATATATATGTGTGTGTGTGTTATATAGTTCTAGCTAGCAAGGCTAGCATTGATTCACAGAGAGAGAGGTGACCGGACTAGTTAGTTGAGTGCTGAGGTTGGCAAGTTGTCTTTAGCTACATGTTTCTTTCTGCTCCTCATGCCAGGCCTTTGGTGATATCAAAAATTCACATTAATTCATTAAGCCATAGCTTAATTGCCTTCAAGTTAAAGAGGTACGTACCTACTGCATTCATAACAAATATATTATAAAAAGTATCAAAAGAATATCTTGTAGAAATAGAATGGTAGATGAGTAAGTGATTTGAGGTTTTAACAAAGAAATTTTTAACTTGTAAATCACTGTGGATAGAAAACATATTATAATTTTCTTCTTTTGGTTTAAAGGAGGGGTGAAGCCCAACAAGGCAAACTTTACACAGAAATCATTATGGGCCTAGACACCACCTCCCCCCAAAAATCACACGCAAATCTTCAAACAAGACCTGGGCCACAGCAACTGGTTGATCCCGTGTAAACAGATCATTCATTCAGACACATTTTGGATTCTTTAGAACCAACCAACCACCGAATATTGGCCTCAAGGTTGAAAGACATAAAAACATAAAAAGTAGTATTCGATTCGTCAGTTGCTTCGACAAAATAACAATACGCGCGTGCTGTATAGTTGAAGGAACTGCTTATTGCATATGATCGTTTGTCTGTCTGATGCTCTAGAACAATTAAGACATAGCAGCCGATAAGTTCAAATTCTCACGGCATGATAGTTGTGTGTGTATGAGAAATCTCATTTCCTTCTAATTTAGACTACCACTTGTATTATAAAAAAATAAACATAGCCACCATGACATCAAAATCAAAATCATTAAGCAGTTTTACAGGGCTTATTTATTAAAGAAAGTAAATCATTAAACTTTTTTTTCTTTTTCGTTTGTTTGTTTTGCAAAGGAAGTTTCTTTGGTGTATTGGCTTTGTTTAATTGATTGGTCTATGTTGGCGTAGTTTGCAAAAATAAAACACCTGATCAACCACTAGGGAATAAGATGGGACCAAATGAAAGATTATTAGAAGATAGTGAGTGATGAATGTGGGATTGGGAAGGTCGTGGTTGGTTGGTACATGATATGTTGCCCTGGTGGTGAGAATGAGATCAAAATCAAATAGCAAGAGAGAGGCAAGTTATTAATGACAGCTGAGCTGAGCTAGCCCCCCCAACATTTTTCACCTCAACCATCCTCAGCTTCAAGCAAGAGATGAGTGAAAACGCATCATCCTGAAAATTTGAAATGGGACCCTCACCACCAACTACCAGCCTCTCTCTCTCTCTCTCTCTCTCTCTCTCTCTCTCTCTCTCTCTCTCTCTCTCTCTCTCTCTCTCTCTCTCTCTCTCTCTCTCTCTCTCTCTCTCTCTCTCTCTCTCTCTCTCTCTCTCTCTCAAGTAAGGGGAGGAGGGGGAACTATTTGATTTTGTCAAGAAGCAAAATTCCAACAATGGTTTACCTGTACCAGCATAACATATGAAAGAAATGCAATGCATTATTTTTTGATGAGCTTTCAGTCTTATTCGCAGCAGAGACTAAATTTCTTTCTTCAGCATTCAACAGCTTGTGAGATTTCTTCTCCCTCCCTCCCCTGTCGTTCTTTATTTCTTTGCTTGCCTAGTTATGTATGATTCTATTAATATACTCCAAGTTGTTTGAAATGGGCATTGGCATATATTAATTGAAAGGTTTTGACTGGATAAAATATAAGTTGGGGGCTGCAATGGAGGAATATTTGACCTTGTCTTGGTCTCTTTTTCTTTTGGCCAGTTTAAGTTACATTGTCTTGGTCAAGAATGGCTTCAGCAGACATTCACTTTTAAGTTTTGACTAACAGGAGTTTTCAAGTGCTATAAGCTTCCAGATTCATGCTACTCTTCTCTCCGTGGTTTGGTTTAACTTGTTCATAATTTCTCTGTTCTCTCTTTCAGGCTCGGATATCATCCTTCATCTTTCTTTTTTTCCCATGGATTTCTGCAGAAAACTCACATAACAAAGAAGAAATAGGATTCTCAGTATACCTATAGATTTCTGCAGCTTTATTATCATATACTCTTCATCAGAATTTGAACTTATTTATTTGTTTATTTACCCTACAGAGTTGGCTTGCAGGACAAAGACATTCAGGGAAAAGCATGGCATCAAGAAACCGTGTCCCCAGCCTTCCTGAAAAGATTCATTCCTTACTAGGATTGAAGTCACATCTGACTTCCAGCTGGGTTAAATCTGTTTGTGATATAATAAGAAACCAACCTTCTCAAGGACAATCCACTAAGACTCAATTAACCATTACAAATTTTGAGATAAACAGTTGTTCAGAGAACCGTGATGATGATGATGATTTAAGCAATGCTGCCTCAAATATTAGAGGTAAATGTAAATCCCTTGGCAATGGCATATCTATCTGCAGCACTGCATATATTTTATTTTCTTACAATGTCCATCTGAATATGATCATTCTATTCATCAAACACCTATACCCTTCTCGATTCTCTCTGTGTCTGTCTACAGATGAACTCGCTATCTTGACTGCCCACATTAATGAATTGAACAAACAGAGAAGGCAGGTTCTAAATGAATTTCTGGACCTGAAAGGTTAGTCATTGTTAACTGAAGTATCGTGTTTTAAGGGAGACTTCAAGTTTGATGTGTTACCAAGCGTCCTTACTATCCTATTACAAAACTATGAAGTGTTCTTACTGTCCTGTCAAAGAAAGTGTTTTTACTATACTCCAAATAAGACCAAAACTTGTGAAGAGTTTGTCGAATAAAAATCTGTGCTTCCCCAAAAAAATACTTCCAGATTCTTAGCTGCGCATATATGCTGTAGTTGACCAGAAACAATTTAAATTGCAGAATTGTGCTAACCATAGATTGTCATTGCAGGTAACATTCGAGTGCTTTGTCGTATAAGACCCATCACAATAGGGGAGAACTTTGGCCGTTTTAGGCCTGTCGTTGCATTAGATTCGAGTAATGTTCATCTAAGACTTACTGATAATAAGAGTAAAAGTTACAGTTTCGACGTGGTTTTCCACCCAGGCTCATCACAAGGTGCTTGAGTACATCATAACTTTCTGGTTGTACGTTTGGCCGTTGAGGCTTGTTGCAACTCCAGGCCAAAAAGAAAGAAAAAAAAAAAAAAAAAAAAGGGCCAGTTGCAACTCTTCATGTGTTAACTTATAGAGAGCCATAATTTTTGTGATTGAAAATTTGATTATTGAAAAATTTCAGATGAAGTCTTTTCAGAAGTTGAGCCAGTCATCAAATCCGCACTTGATGGCTACAATGCATGCATATTTGCATATGGACAGACGGGCACAGGGAAAACCTTCACCATGGTGAGGAATAAGGACTATCTTATGACATTTTATAGGCATTCTATACATGCAAGTAAAATCTTGACATAGCCAATAAAGAAATCCATGTCATGCAAGTGAAAAAAACTTACTGGAAAGTTCAGTAGCCCAAAAGTCTCAGTTGCATGCCTTGATCTGCCTGACATAATTTCAGTATTAAAGTGACTTAAATGTGGTTTGTATAATAGTTCTTATCTAAATTGTGCAGGAAGGAACTCCAGATTTTCCCGGAGTGGTGCCCCGTGCAATCGAAGCACTGTTTAAGCAAGCAGTGGATAGCAACCATGCGTTTCTATTCAGTTTCAGTATGCTTGAGATTTATATGGGAAATCTAAAAGACCTGCTCATTCCTCAACCAACAAAGGCAATGGATCCACTGCCACCATGGTAAAATTACATGCCGAATGTTTTAAGGCTCATGAGCTACGCAACTCACCATAAATATACTCAATTTGAGCAATAACAGATTTCTTGGCCCAGTCCCGAACATATTAAGCCTTTTGATGTCCCAGTGGTTGTCTAATATTTCTGTTTTGTTGAGAAAATACAAAATTCTATTAATACTAACAAAAAGGAGTCCACTTAAATGTACACGAAACGAAAATGAGAATAGATAGGACTATCAAACCAAAAATATAACAATTTGGATCCCAGGACCCCCTACACTCCTAGCTATAATGGCCTGCAGCCTTTCAATCCATAAGAATAGCAGATAGATGAGTCTGTTTAGATTACGTAGAAACAGAAGTCCATAAGATGACCAGAATCTGATCTTTTTCCCAGGCTCCTCCGCCGTTTTGTCCACTCAAACCTTCAAAGTTATTCTATGTAACCCAATAGCACAGAGAGGGTTAACACACTGCATCCCAGAAAACCTTGGCTTTCTTTCCACCAGTGGTTGTCTAATAGAAATCATAGCTCTGGTTGTAGGAGGCCTTGAGTTCGAAACCTCCAATCTCCATTCCCCCACTTCTCCGCTGATTTGCAAGGTACATGATTGGGCTGCACCTATACACTTCTCTCTATCTGCATTTATCTACCTCTGCAAGCCTACATGTGAAGGAAGTTAACTTAACATATACATTGTTGGTCCATTCCCTTAAGCGCTTAAGCTTTTGGTGTCTTGTGGTTGTCTAACAGAAAAAAAAAACACACAGGTGGTGAAGATGATTAATTGAAAAATGAAGGCCAACTTACTACAGGTTTTATTTTGTGCCCGCATCAACTTTGATAATTTGTCTTTCCTGAAAAATTCTTTATGGGCTTTTTAGCCAGTTACAAATTTGATGAAGTTCAATGAACTTAATTTCACTTCTTTCTTCATTATATTGGAGGGTTGAGGAATTATGTACCTGACTTATAGTGTGCCTGAAAATATGACTGCATATGATAATTAGTTGCAAGTCTTTATGCTGAACATCAGACAAATAAAGAGCTTTATTCCTTGTCTATTTTTGCGTGTAGTTGCATTTCATTGACACCTTGTCACCTTGCATTTCTATCAGTTGTGTTTGTTATATAGCTCACCCCAAAAGATTATTTAAGTATTGAAAATAAATGCGGATGCTTAACAGATTTTAATGGTGTAACCAGTTACTTGAATCATTTTCTAATGTAATAGTAACACATGTAGTAGCTTTCTAGGATTGTTAATAGCAGGGTATACAAACCCGCAATTAACCCTTAAAAAATGCCAGCTACTTAACCATTGTTTTCAGAATCAAACAAGACGTTCACTCATCTGAATGAACATATAATGTCTTTGCAAATGCCTTCTATCACTAGTTTATTACTTGTAAGGCGGGAATCATTTGTTTTGAACTAGAGTGGTGAATGGATGCTTGAAGTAGGGTAAGTCTTCTTCATGTCTTATCAGTTGAAGAAATTCAAAGTAATATTGGGAAAATTTTCCAAAGCAGCACTAACAGTAAGTTATAGCTAATTCCCACGACGAGGAGGAAATGATGGAAGCCAATTCGCTCAATTAATCCTCTCATGGTTTCCTGAATTACATGAGAATTGTTGGCTTGTTGCATCCCTTTACTTTCATAAGTTCCATTTGTTAGTTGTGTTAAGCATTGCCTTCTGAAGTAATCCTACTTTTACTTGAACAGCCTCTCAATCCAAACAGATCCAAAGGGTGGGATTGAAATTGAAAACCTTGTGGCTATTCAAGTGAGTGACTTCAACCAAGCTTTGAAACTATATAGACTAGGGTGCCGGTTCAGGTCAACTGCATCAACAAATTGTAACGTTACTTCCAGCAGATCACACTGGTAACTACTTGCCCTAATAGGAAACTGGCTGTCTCAGATATGTCTTCAGCTTTGGTTACTGGTTTTGGAAACAATACTATTATGTTCTGAGACTTTCTATTTCTGTTGTGGTAGCTTGATTCGCATATCAGTCACATGTAGTGGAGCGCCTGAGAGGCGACGAGAAACAAATAAAGTTTGGTTTGTTGACCTGGGAGGAAGTGAGCGTCTGCTGAAGACAAAGGCATGGGGAAGAAGACTAGAAGAAGGAAAAGCCATTAACTTGTCACTTTCCTCTCTTGGAGATGTCATCAATGCCCTTCAGACTAGAAAGGGCCATGTACCTTTCAGGTAAGAAACACAATCAATCATTATGCATTGATCCTTACTACTTGGGATAAGCAGCATACATCTCCCTTTTTGTTATTTTGTTATTAAAGCCATATCATTAAACTTGAATGAGAAATTAACTCTCCCATAGCCTATTTTAGTGACGGCCAGAAAATCCCACTTGATTAAATTAAATAATCAACGAAACCAGCATGCTTTTCAGTTAATGCATTATACTAGTGTTGGTTGGTACTTGGTATGAGTAAGATACTAACAAGTTTTCGACTCTACACACTTGTTAGTATGTAATGAGTAATAAGCAATAAGAACTCACCAGTTATGATTCACTTTTATTATATAGATGGCTAATTACATAATAAGTTTTTCTTTTTTCACTAATGACAGGAATAGCAAGCTGACGCAGGTTCTTAAAGATTCCCTTGGTAATACTTTACCTCACTGGATCTACAGTATCATTCTTAATTGTAATGACTACCAAGTGACAAGAACATGCCCTACACCAAATTTCTATGATAAATGAGGTTCTTTTGTTTTTACCTATCAAGGCCTGCCACTAAAAAGGTTTCTTGGCGTAAACTATATGCATGCATCAACTAGTTATGTTATATGCCTGCTCTGGAGATGGCAAAACTTATTTTTAAAATATACCCACCTTTTTTTTAATGCCTGTTTCACATGTACTTTATTTTTTATTTTTATCACCATGGTCTAAATATCTTTTCTTCCCTTGATTTTATATTTTTAGGAAAGGACTCAAAAACTCTAATGCTTGTCCACATCAGTCCTAAAGAAGAAGATCTCTGCGAGACAGTGTGTTCTTTGAATTTTGCAACAAGGGTGAGAAGCGTTCATCTAGGGAATACAGATTCAACTGTGAGTAAATGTGACGATCTGTTTTTTTATATTAAATCTGACAAAGTACAAATTCCTTTTGCCTTTTTATTTTGGCCTAGTGACAGTACAAATTAAAATTACCACTATGAATTACACATAAAGATAGTCTCTAAAGTTGACCAAATAAAAAAAAGAGAGTGTCTAATTAACTTTGACAAAGACGCCCTAAAAGAAGCCAAGCATCTAATCCTATCCCAAAGTAGATCCACTTCCTCTTCCTTCTTGTCAACATACCGATTGTTTCTTTCTACCCAAACAATGCACAAAGAGCAAAAATAGCAGACCATCAGAAAATGGCCCCTTTTTGTTAGCCTCTAAATTGCAGTACCTCTCCACCAACAAGAAATATCAACCCCAACACACATCCCTTCAAACACATCGAACAACCAGTGTGCAGCAGTCCCTCCTCCTTTTAATTCAAAACACACCAATGTGGAGTGGAGACAAACATGCGTAAGGCCTTCTTCTCCAGATCATATCACAAGTATTTAGCTTCCATGGACCACTAAACCAGGTAAACTTTGCACCTTAATGGTCACACCAGCCTTCTAAACTTATATGGCTCAGCCATTCCTAACAATTGAACACCATACAGAGTTTTCTCAAGTGAGAATCTCCACAACCATTTGCCTAGTAATGCCTGATTTCCTTTTAACAAATTTCCAATAGCTACCCCACCTTTTCCCCTCAGTTCCTGCACAAGATCCCAATTGATTAAATGATAATTTCCTCCTCACCACAGCCTTCCCATAAGAAGTCTCATGAATTTCTCTAAAATCCTAGCACCCCACCCAAGAATATGAAGATAGACAAAAAATAATAATGCTACTCTTCCCTCTCCTCCACCCATCTAACCTTTTCCACACTTTTTCTGTCACCAGATTTAGAAAAAAGATAATGCAGAAGGGTTGCTCCCAAAGATAATGCCTAAATAAGTCTGTGGTCACTCACACATCGCACAACCGAACTCTTTAGCTAAGGACTCTAACTTCTCTCCCCTACATCAAAATGCACCATCATGCCTTACAATCCTGAAGCTACCCAAACAGTTCAATAATTTTAACCAGCCTCTTTCAGTGAAATTGGAGCATGGTTCTTGATTGATGTCGACTACATTAGATAATCTAGAGAAAAAAATTTGAACTAGAAAAGGAAAAGAAGGCACACTAATACTAATAAGAACAAGTCTAGACACATGACAAAGTGCATGATGTTAGTCTAATGAGTATGTTATAGTGAAAAAGAAGAAAGCTTAATCATTACTCACTTTATCATCTTTAACAAAACTATTGCAAGTCTTCAAGCCGTTTATGCAGGAATCATACGCATATCATAGAAGGGCAGAAAAGTTGTGTTAAAATTAAAATCATAACTAAGAATATTGGTGCAAGAAAGTAGATTCATTTGATAATGAGTAATCATATAATCAGTTTGCTGTATTACCTGGTTAGCTTGCTGCATGAATCCAAGTGCCTTATAGGAACCTCAGCTTATGCAAAAAGCTGATTTTGTTTCTATTATAAATTGTGAACTCTGGTGCCTTAATAATGACTGGAAGAAATTGAAATCAGGAAGAAAGGCAGAAGGAAGTTGCAATGATCAATCTGCAACAAAAGATGACAATGATTGAAGTTGAGCGCCAGGATGTTAGAATGAGTATCAAGAAGTTAAATGAGGAATTGGAGAAATTAACAGGGACAACCCAATCTTCCAGTGAGAAACTGGATGCTGACAATTTATTTAACGACTTGCCCCAAGCTAATCTTGAAATAAATAGGAGCAAGACTAGAAATATTGCAGCAGCTCCCTCTTCGCAGGTACCAAGGTTTATGAGACCTACTATTTGCAGTAGAAGAAAATCTGGACCCGAACACCTAACTTTTGAAGAGAAAGTGAGATTCCCTGCAAGAAGGAGAAGAACAATGAACCATCATGCTAAATCTGTAAATTTCCCTGTAAAGGGTACTTCAGAAAACAACTCAGAATGTAGTATTTCCAGAAATAGCTGTTTAGTGGCTTTGAAGATGAAACGTAGTGCAGATGTAGAAACAGAATGCAGTCAGGATCTATCAGAATGTGATATTAAAGAGGTTGTATTCCCAGAACAGGAAGCATCACCAAAATGCTCCAATCATCACAGAGATCATAGTGAGGAATATGAAAATAGACATAAAAGTAATGCTTGTTCTGCAGAATATTATGTTGATAAGTGGCTACTCCTAAATAAGAATGCACCTGCTACCCCAGAGAAGAAACATATATGTAATGGACAAAAAGAAAGAGACCATTTGCAGGATAAGGAAGTCCAAAACCGCAAGAATGCAATAGAACAGATTGTCAACCACAACAAATTGGAGAAGCATGCTGATGTGGAGGGATCTCACAGGTCCATGCAAGAAGTGGTTATTACCAAACCTCCCACAAATTTGAAGGATTTTGACAATATTGACTCAAGATGTAACTCTGATTCTCCATCAGATGAATTTGTTGAAGATATAATAATACATACAAAAGACAAATTAGATGGCGTGCCAATGGAGACACACATATGGAACACCATTTATCCACCTGATATTTGGTACAGCAGTTTGCATTTGAATGAAGATGATAATGGGGTCAACACTTTATCCCCAATGCAGGTACCATTTGGTGAAACAGAATCCTCAGACAGTTTCTTGTCAAACAATAGCAATTGGTGCCAAATTTCTACCTCTAATTTAGCTTATAGCATTTTGGACTCGAGAGAAGATTCTGGAATCTCAATTTCAAGAATAGAACTAAATTCGGGCTGTCAACAAGTGCCTACCACAATACGTGGGGAAGAATGTGAAAAGGAAGATCTGGACACGTTATTTCAGAGCTCTGCAGAAGGAATAAGACATGGCCTACACAAAATGAGATCTCAAAGAGCTTTATTTATGGAATATGTAACTCCAAAGGAAGCAATCAAGCCACAGCAACTGATAAAGTCACAAGAAAATGATATGAACTCAGGTAAGAAAGATAATTATGTAAATACATGTTCGATCTTTTTGAGCAATACTTTCATCCAGAAGCCTTTTCCTTTGCAAAAACACCTAATCTCCTAATGATTATGTTCTGTTCCATGGTTTCAAAAGTTTCTCTTCCTCTATTTTTGTCAGGAATACGCCATCTTCTTCTACAGAAAATTCAGATTTTATGGGCCAGTGCTCTTCTAGGGTTAGGATTTCAGAACTTGGGACTAGAGCAGGAATTCTTCCTCGGTTTAATACTTTGAAGCAGCTTCAGTAGGTGACTATAAATTTAAAGTCTTAGTAAATTAATCTTCAGATGATTCTGTCCATTTGCTAGGTAACAATATTCAATGAAATAAAGCGACATTCATGTAAAAATGTGCATTGAAAAATCATATCACAATGTTTACAAGTTCAATATCTTAATTGCTTTTACGAAGCTCTTTCAGTTTCAAGTTCACCAAGCAAATCTGATTTGTACACGAAATTGAGATAACTGACAAAGACACTATATAAACCACTCTTGTGACTCTCCTTATGCAATTTCTACTTCTGAGAAGCTAATGAAGTGTCTTATTAACCACGGAGATTCATAGAACATATAAGCTCTATATTTGGCTTCCTTGTATATCATTCTTTTAATAGGTTTAGATGATGACAGGAGCTTGCTAAATTGGTGTTGGCATTTTGTTAAGTATCTTTCTTTGTTTGACACACCAAATCATGTATGTTGTGCCTGAAGAACAATTTGTAGGATACCATGAGGGTGAAGAGCAAGAATAGTTATGTTTTTATAATCTCTCAGCAGCTCAAAAAGACAGAAGACGTTACGTTGGAAAGAAAATACCTGCTTGTTGATGAAACCCTGGTAGAGATACGGTGATGCCAAGGAGATTTCAGATCTGGTTAAACTGGACGTTGGAAGAATTGGAGTATCAAATCCTGGCTAATGGCTATTCAGCAAATTCAAGCAGCTCCCCAAAATCTTGTTGCAGATGTCCAGCCAGCTTCAACTGCCTGAAAATCTTATACAGGACTTCATATATCCTAGTGCATTCAAAGTGGGATTTGTCTCCTGCAATGAATTCATGAACTCTGTTATTCACTTCTATGGAACTCCTTCCTGGAGTCTTCTTCACACCCGTGTCCCTCATAACTTTCCTTAGCATTCCCGATTCATTCCACCTACCCAGAGAACCATATACATTAGACAAAAGTGCATAATTTCCACTATTATGGGGCTCTAGCATTATTAGATGTTGCAAAGCATGTTGTCCAAGCTCCGCATCCCCATGAATATTAGAAGCGGCAAGAAGAGAACCCCATATAGCTGCGTTTGCTTCAAATGGCATCTGTCTAACCAATTCGTGTGCCTCTTGAAGATAACCAGCACGCGCAAGAAGATCTATCATGCAGCCATAGTGCACAATTTTGGGTTTAATCCTATACTTGGAAACCATGATGCTAAAATACCAATGGCCTATTTCAACCAATCGACCATGGCTACAAGCAGAAAGGATGGCAATGAAAGTGATATCGTTAGGCTTGATTTTAGCCCTTTCCATTTGAGCAAACATTTCAACGGCTTCTCTTCCGAGACCATGCAAAGCCAGTCCTGCAATCATGGTCGTCCAAGTTACGACAGTTTTACATTTAGTATTTTCAAAAACTTGAAGGGCTTTTGTTATGTTGCCTGACTTGGCATACATGTCGATAAGTGCGTTGTTGAGAGAAACCAGCTTACGAAATTCATGTTTCTCAATATAGTTATGGATCCACTCGCCCAAGTGGAGAGCCCCTAAATGGGCACAAGCAGAGAGTGCGGCTAACATGGATATCTCATCAGGCTGAACATTCTCAAGCTGCATTCTGCGGAAGATTGTGATGGCCTCGTGGGGGCGGTTCACCTTAGCATATCCGGCAATCAGGGCAGTCCAAGAAATGACATTCCTAATCCTAGGGGGCATAAGTTCGAACAAATGGCGGGCATTGTCGACATCACCTGACTTGGCATATCCTGCAATCATTGCGTTCCAGAGGGCGACATCCCAAAAGGCAAAGGCAAACGCAGCAGCTCCGTCAAACAGTGTGCGGGCGTCGGAAACACATCCACAAGAGGAATACATATGAATGAGGGCAGTGAGGACGCTTGCATCCATGTCAAAGCCAATTCCTATGACATGACAGTGAATCTGTGCGCCCACCAATCGTTGAACTTGAGGTGGCGCCAAGCGAACGACGGCCTTGAGCACAAAAGGGAAGGAGTAGGTGTCAGGGCGCAAGGCGGCGAGTTGGATTCTGTTGTAAAGAGAGATGGCGTGGGAGGGAGAGGGAGAGAGAGCCTTGGCCTTGATGATGGTGTTATAGAGATAAATGCTTGGCTGGCCTTGGGTGCGGGTGAAGACGGAATAGGCGTAATCTGAGAAGCCAAGAGAAGAGCAGGCCTGGATGAATCGGGGAAGGGTTCGGTTGTCCTGATGAAGGCCTCCGGCTACCATAAATCCATGAGCTTGCTCTATGTGTTTGAGGTTGGTGCACTGTCTCAGCCTCAGCCTCAGCAAGGACACCACCTCCGCCGAAATGGGATGAAATGGGAGCTCTCCTCCGCTCCTCATGATCTCATTCATACTAATTTCAATCAATGTGATGATGGATGGATTGAAATTATTGCAATGTAATTTCAAATTTGTGACAACAACCAAACTCTTATAAGTCTGCAAAAGTATTCCTCAAACTCAAGTGGGAATAGAAAGTGAAAGGCTGAAGAAACAATAAATAAATAACATGATGGGAAAAGACAATAGCGTTAAAAGTAAGCCTAGCATTACCCTTAGGCTTAATTGTAGCAATAATTACCGAATTTTGGCTCGCTTCACATATTTTTTTGTCCTCATGAAAAAATATTTAGGGCTCGTTTGATACACGGGATTGATTTGAATTGGCTTTGACTAAATTTAGTACCATGTTTGTTTTATCTAATCCTAGTCTTAGATGGGATTGCTAATACCGGGCCCACCAAAAACACCTCCTTAGGAGAGGACTACTAATCTCATGTGGAAAGGGAGGATTAGCTAGTCCAAATGGTCACCAATGTATAAAATGCATATATTATATTGTAAAATTAATAACATATATTATTATTATTAAACTTACTTACACATATGCTATAATGTACATATATACATGTATATACACATAAATATATCATATATGTATATATGTATATATATACAAGGGCGGAGCCGGAAAATTCATCAAGAAGGGTCAACCTCAAATAATAAAATCATTTCTAAACAAGATAAATTTATCTAGTAATACAAAGTCTTTAGTAATAACTCATATATGTTATTTCAATACATTCACAATAATCGTTCATCTCTTGAAATATTTTCATAATCACTTCATTATCAATAATATCAAATTTCAAAATTCAGATAATAAAGAAATCATATCAACATTATTTTTCTTAATTTGAGATAATAAAGAAATCATAAAAAAAGTGTTTTTGGGTTAGTAATTCTTAAGTTATTAAAAAAGTAAAGAGAAAAAAAAAATTATAACAGCTTGCTGTTCTTCAATCAGAAGGGTCAGACTTTAAGAAAAAAATATGAACAAAGGTTAAATATAAACAAATGCAGGGTTATTTAGGGAACTTCAGAAGGGTCAGCTGACCCTTGTGGGCCTTCATTGGCTCTGCCTCTGTATATATACATACACATATATACATATATAATATATATAATATACATATACATATATACATGTATATTATTATTATAATATACCCATATACACATATACATATTAATATTATAATAATAGCATATGTTTATATATGTAATATATATTATAATACATATATATATATATACGTATATATATACATATATGTGTATATATATTATACCCATGTATGTATTATAGTATACATATACACACATATATACACATATATATTATATATGTATTATATATATTGTAATATACATATATACATATATATATATATATGTATTATACCCATGTATATATGTATAATATATATATATATATATGTTTATATTATTTATAATATACATATATACATGTATATACACATACATGTCACATATATTATAAAATACATATGTACACATACATAAGACATGTATTTATACATATATACATATACATAGATAGTTTTGAAAAATAAAAATAAAAATCTAGTCCTAGTCCAAGCGTACACCAAACGCAGGATAAGTGTTATCCAACTTAGACCAAGTCAAGCCAAGCCAAGACAGTCCCTAAGCATTGTCCATGCCAAAACAGTCCTGTGTACCAAACGAGTCCTAGGAGGAGGGAAGGCTAAGTGCTAGAACGGAAACGGAAGCTACAATGCAGAGTCTGGGCAAAAATGTACCTATTAATAAGTAAGGAACTAAAAGTCAAAACCATGATGAAAGTGCTAGAAAATTATACAAAAATCTCTAACCAAACAGCACCTCAAACTCAAATCTGATAAAAAAAAGCCAAAGTAAAAAATAAAAATTACATCAAAGAGTTGAAAAATCAACTTCTAAAAAGCAAAAAATAACTAGAAAATTCAAATAACAATTTGATCAAGAATATACATACCTCAATAACAACAAAACTGACCTTCACATCAAAACATGAATACTGCAATAGAAGAAGATCGAAAAATGCACGGCAGTTTTTAGAAAAACCAAAAGTTCTCATATTTAAGTGGGATTTTAAAACAAAAACAATGTAGATATCAATGATGTAAACAAAAAAAAAATGCAAACAAAAACTAAACTCAAGAGTATGGGGAAAAAATAAATATATTAATAAGTGAGGAACCAAAACGGAAAACCATAATGAAAGTACTAAAACAAAAACTGCGATGCAGAAACGGAAACTACAATGCAGAAGCGGAAACTGAAATACAGAAATGGAAACTGCAATATTAAGTCTAGGCAAAAATGCTCAACTCTAGAGTTAAACAAAACAAAACCATATTTTTTTTTTATTCACGACATGTTGGGAGAGGGGGAATCAAACTGAAGACCACCTAGAATGTAAAATAAGTTATTCATGTTTCTGTTTTATGCATTGCAGGTTCCATTTTCTGCAATGCAATTTCTGTTTTCTGCAATGCAGTTTCCGTTTTCTGCATTGCAATTTCCGTTTTCTGCATTGCAGTTTCCGAAAAAAGAAGAAGATTTTGTGTCATTAAAGATCGTCGTTCGTCTCCGAGAACTTGATTGAGTATAAGAATGTTGCTTCATGTTAAAATTGCATGTTCTTGTTCAGCTAAACTAAAGAGTTGGGATAATGGTAATGAAATCAATGTTGTTTTCTTTAGCCAATCAAAACGTGTGGTTCAATAACAAAATGCAAAAATGAGAAGACATACGAAGAAAAAAGAAGAAGATAATAATGAAACCAATACTGGAGAGATCAACTAAAAATTCCTCACCACCAATGCAAATGTCGAAGAACTCCACTGCCTGAGTAGCATCACAACGTCAGCTCCTCAGCATCCAATCCCCAGTTGTCCATCAACACACACACACTCTCTCTCTTCACAAACAAGCAAACACTATTTAAAAAAGTGCAAATGCTACAGTGCGAGTTCACACAATGCAAACTCCCTTCCTAGTCCAAATGAAACCCCAACACTCTGCATGTCAACCACCAATCAAAACGGAAACTGCAATGCAGAAACGGAAATTGCAATCCACAAACGGCGACTATTGGACTGTTCCAGCCAAAATTGGTCATGAACTCCAGCTGTTTAGGTCGGGTATTTTGGGGAGATGATATAGAAGGTGATGGCGAGCAACTTTCGTGAAGGAATGATGGAGAGATAAGGTCGTTACAGCGACAGAAAGTCGCCGTGAAATTAGGTCGCAACTGCTGGACTGTTTCAGCCAAAATTGGCCACGAATGCTAGCTGTTTGGGTCGGGTATTTTAGGACGATGATAGAGGAGGTGATGACGAACAATTTTGGTGAAGGAATGACGACAAGATAAGGTCGTTATGGCGACGGAAAATTGACGTATTGGGTTTACGGCAGGCAGCGATTGTTGAACTGTCCCAGCCAAAATTGGCCACAAACGTCAGCTGTTTGAGTCAGGTATTTTGGGAAGATGAAAGAGGAGGTGATGGCGAGCAACTTTCGTGAAGGAACGATGACGAAATAAGGTCGTTATAGAGACAGAAAGTCGCAGTGAAATTAGGAATATGGTTGCCCTGTTTTCCAGTGAAGAGAGATAGAGAGAGAGGGATGATGAAATCTGGTTTTTGCAAGGCTTTTTTAAAAAAAAAGAGGTAAAATTGTATTTCACTTTTCTAATTTAGACAAACCCAATGAATCTGGGCCTCCTTTTTGGCCAAATCCAAAACAAAATTTGAAAACTATATATTAAAACCCAAAAAAAATACTCTATGTCTCAAATCTTAATTAGTAAAAATTGTTATGTATAATACCTAATTTTTCTTTTAATTAGGGTTAATCGTTTTATTAGTCCATGAACTTTGACCCGATTTGCATTTGAGTACCTCAATTTCCAAAATGGTTCCCGTTGTCCTTTAACTTTAGTTTCGTTTGGACAACTAGTCCCACCGTTATTTCTGTCAATTTTTTCGTTATATTTAGGGCATGTGGGGAGTAGTTGAGGGACAAAAGAGACTTTTACCTCTTTTAGCTTCTCTGATACGACTATTTTTTATATATTTATTTATGAGAAAAAGAGGTTAAAGAATCCCAAAAGAAAAAACACGCAGACTACATGACATTAATCAAACGGGCCTTAGCAGCCCCCAGCGAATCATCAATCAGCAGGTTGCCAAGCCAAACAGGATTTTCATCAAGGTACCAATATTCCAGGTCAAGGTTGTGACTCCAAGTAGCTAAAATCTGAAGAGTTGCGAACCAAAGAATAAATCTCTCTCTCTCCTCTCCCTCTATCCCGATTTCTAACCCCCTATCCAGCCATCCAACTAGCCCCACCGCCATCGCCCCCACCTCATCTATCTCTTCTGACATGCCTTCTCAATTTTCTTCCAAATCTTTTAATAGACCTAGCTCTCATCATATCTTACTCTCATGTTCTTCTAATTGGAATTGTTCCTTCTGGGCAGAGAGTACCAGACATGGTCCATTGCTGAAAATTCTGAGTGACTATACCAGGAGGGTTTTGTCCTTTGGGTCTCTCAGGTGGATCCTGAAAATTCAAATTCAAAGAAAAAAAGTTGTAAACTTGTAAAGACTTCTCCTTTACTGGCTCTGCTTAGCTTAGCTCTTGGTGCTTGCCTTTCCCACAAGACTGCAGATGCTTTGTCATTTTTCATGTTCATCAAAACTTGGGCAGCCATTGCCAGACAACAAGATGAACATATAGTGTGCCCCTAATTTGTATTAGCCACACTCTTCCCACCAAGAAACATATCCGGATTTAATCCAAGGATTGGTAACACAGAGAGAGAGAGAGAGAGAGAGGTGGTGGAAGTGGGGATGATGAAATAAGGGGAAGGGGGATAATAAAATCAACTGAAAAGACCCATCTACCCTTAAATATAATGAAAAAATTGACAGAAGTAACGGTGGGACTAGTTGTCCAAACGAAACTAAAATTAAAGGACCACGGGAACCATATTGAAAAGGCTTATTTATGTACATGCCCCCTGTGCTTTCAAACTTGTCTCAGATTACCATCTGGGCTTTGAAAAGTCTCAAAATACCCCCACACTTTTAAAAACAGTCTCACGTTACCCATTCCGTCAGTATTATAAACGTTCTGTTACGTGCTTTGGGCCCCACTTCGTTTTAATCCTTAACATTGGAGAATAAGGGTTTTTTCAGCTTCAGAAAAGGGGAAAAGCGTCTCAAAATACCCCCACACTTTTAAAAACAGTCTCACGTTACCCATTCCGTCAGTATTATAAACGTTCCGTTACGTGCTTTGGGCCCCACTTCGTTTTAATCCTTAACATTGGAGAATAAGGGTTTTTTCAGCTTCAGAAAAGGGGAAAAGGGGTATTTGGGTGAGAATGAGAAATTTGGAGTGACCACTGGTTGGTCGTATAGGTATTTGTCCCGACTTCCATTAGGCATGTAGTTATAGACCAAGAGCAGCTCCCCTTTTCTTCTACAATATCCCAACAGTGGTACTAAATTTCGGTGACGAAGTCTGCCAATGCTAATAATTTCTGCAACAAACTCCTTCATCCCCTGTCTTGATTCATGTGAGACCCTCTTCACTGCAATCTCAGTTTTGGAGGAAGTAATATGCCTTTATAGACCTTACCAAATCCCCCACTTCCCAAAAGCTCCTTCTCCCTAAACCCTTTTGTTGCCATCTATAACTCTTTGTATTTAAACCTTTGAGGCCCATACCCAAGCTCCCAATCTTCAAGCAGCTCTACAAACTTCTTCCTTCTTATGACATAAATTAAACTTGAAATTGCTAGCAAAACCAAATTTTCCCTGCCCACCCAAATACCCCCTTCCCCTTTTCTGAAGCTGAAAAAACCTATATTCTCCAATGTTAAGAATTAAAACGAAGTGGGGCCCAAAGCACGTAACGGAACGTCTATAATATTGATGGAATGGGTAACGTGATGCCGTTTTTAAAAGTGTTGGGGGGGCATTTTGAGACGTTTCAAAGCCCAGGTAGTAATCTGAGACAAGTTTGAAAGCACATGGAGCATGTACATAAATAAGCCTTTTGAAAATTGAGGTACTCAAATGTAAATTGGGTGAAAATTTAGAGACTAATAAAACAATTAACCCTTTTAATTATATACTAGAAATTAGAAAATTCCGGATGGGAAATTGGGAATGAATGAAGAGTGGAAACTGGAGGCTGAGCCGAGTGAGTGAGTGGGTCAATTTCCCCCTCACATGACATCCCTGCCCAACCCCAAGGCCCAAAACCCTAGTTTTGCATAAGTAGTAGTACACGCTAACAATTGAGGAGCAAGCAATTTAGCAGCAGCATCCTCCCTGAGAAAGTGAGATCTGAGTAGTAGGTGACAAGTTACCAAAGCCAACCAGAGCAGAGGTCCAAAGGTTCCAGTAGTGGAGTGGCAACCTTGGGGGCTGGTCTCTTGTGTTATATTTTTTAGGAAGGGAAATACTTATAAGATTTGGAGATGGAAGGGAATTCGGGTGGCGTAGGAGGAGGAGGAGCAGTAGCAGGAGTAGGAGCAGGAGGAGCAACGACAGTAGGAGGTGGAGCTGGAGGCGGAGGTAATGACGTGGAGCTTCTGTGTAAGACGCTGCAGGTTGAGCACAAGCTCTTCTACTTCGATCTCAAAGAGAACCCTCGCGGCCGCTATCTCAAAATTTCCGAGAAGACGTCAGCCACCAGGTCCACCATCATCGTTCCCTTCTCCGGTATCTCCTGGTTCCTCGATCTCTTCAATTACTATGTCAATTCAGACGATCAGGATGTCTTCAGCAAGGAATTGCAGCTAGACACCAAGGTAAGTAGCAGCAAACTTTTCATTCCACCCCTAAGATTGCTTCCACCACCCGCCTCATGTTTTCCTTCTTTCCTTTCTTTGCTTAATTATCTCCTTAGGTCTTCTACTTTGACATTGGCGAGAACCGCAGGGGCCGTTTCTTGAAGGTTCTTTCTTTCCTTTTTCTTTTTCAAATATCTTTTATCCCCTCTCTTTTCAGTGTTTTACTTGCTCACTTACGCTTACATCTGCTGCTGTTAATTTTCAATGCTAATGACATTTTGACTAGACACATCAGTTTAGCTTTGCATCTGGGTTGCCTCCTCTCCTTAATCAATAATCTTTCGCTTCAGATTTTCTAATTTTATTTTTTCCTAAATATATATTCGTATGTAAACAATTGCTTCTGTGTGTACGTGATTTTTCCCTGTAAAAATATTCTATGCTTCCCCTTGCATTCTGGATTACTTGGTATTGATAAGTAGATCCTTCATCCTTATTTTGAAGAAATCTTCCCCTGCAGTTGATAGAAAATTCTGGATACTGACTAGGGCATGGGATTTGATATTTTTCGATATAAATGGTGTACGAAATGGTATTAGTCAATGACTATTTGATTTCACAGTAAATCGTTGTAGAACCCTCTTTTCTTCAAACTGTGTGCAAGATCAAGAGTTTGATTGTGTAAAGAGGCCCCTGAAATGCCTCACAAGTTGGATTCTTTAGTATGCCCTAAACCCTTTAACGAAAAATTATGGACTTTTATCTCTGCTCCCCTGCCCTCCCGTACAAAAAGATGCATAAGTATTTGTTTCACCGCTCTCATGGTACCAAGAATCACTCTTCTAGTTTAATGTTGCTTTGGAAATTTTATTTTCTCCCAAATGTTTTTTATTCGTAAGTTTTTATAGTGCATACTCTCTGAAATGTCATTTAGATGTAGTTTGCCCTCTACTACTTTTTAGCTATTTAATTCAAGGTTTGAATGGTGGATTATGTAGTTAGTGAATGTAATGGTCCTTTAGATTGTTCTGATAGTTTTTGGAAGCAAAGAGTTCAAAGATATTGGAGACAATGGTAAAGATGGAGAATGGTTCATGGTATTGTACTTGGTGCATTCTGGCGTTTTTGGCTCTCTTTATATGTGGAGTATAGTTGGCTAGCCATCAAAGGTCTTAATTACATGGTGATGCGACGTGCAAACATTTTATGTGTGTTGTCTATGTTTTCCTGAGTGTAGTTAATTGTTTTTTGTATCACCTCACTTCTTGTACATTCTTTGTTTCTGTCTCATTATTATTATCTTTTTACAGAACTTTCCTTTATTTTTTCTGTTGAGGAATATAAATTAAGTTTGGGGTTTTTAGTTACTTGCCCCTGGCACCACTGGCAATGCCATTAGTTTCTATTATTAATATTACATATGATGATATAGAGTATCATGTTCAAGTTTGAAAATTTCAATGTAGGTTTATTGGTAGTTTGGTTCACAGAAATATCGGTAGAAATACAAGTAGAGCTTGCATAAACAATGGAAATTTTGGATGGAGCTTTAGGAAATCTCTAGTTCCATACTCAACTGTTTTGTGTGCAAAAAGAAAAATACTTAATTAATTTAATACAAACATTCACCGATGTTTAGCCCAAATTTCATTACAATTTCAGCCCATTTGAATAACTTAAAATAGAACTTGAAAAACCAAGATTTGAAAACCCAAAAAAAACAAAAAAACTAGGTAACTAGAATGAGTAATTCCTAATCCTTTTAGCATTTTCGTTTGTCCAGTCTCTCTTTTGGTATTTTTCATATCATGGCAAGCCATTTAACTTTTTCTGCAGAAGGTGGATTGAAAAATTCAGCATTCCCATTTTCCCAAAGACATGTGAATCCAATTCTTTGTGAAATAAACATTCTCCACTTTCATTTTTATTTCTCTATCTTTGCGTTTGCAACAAAGAAAGGGGGAACTTGAGGGAACCCTACAAGTGCTTTGCCTGCAATTGATTGTTGGCGTGACTTGTGAGTTCATGTCCGGTAGAGATGAAGCCAAACCCTGTAAACCCAGCTATATTTCAGTGATATACATCCCTTCATACCATTGGAGATATTTTCTAGAAAATCCAGCTTTTTCTTGGAGTTGTCACCGAAGTCAATGTGGTTTTGATATGTTGCCGAAACTTCAGAATTTCAGCAACACCCTAGGAAGAGATCCAATTTATTTCCATATCAGTACTCTATAATTCCATCATTCTTTCAGCCCAACATCCAGTTTTTTACATTTCTGCTGAAATCTGATTAAGACTATGGTAAACTAAGTTTGTGCTTGACACAACTGTCTAAAAACTATTAGCATAAAGTTTTTTATCTTCTACTGTTAGTAGCTCACGTCCACTATTGGACTGGATGATAATATCATGTGTCTGATGCATCGAAACTTGTGAAATTTGGCTTTGAGCAGCTTGTGAACGACTTGAATATTTTTGTGGCCTTGATATAACATGGAGCCCTGCTACTTGTTAAGTGGTAGTTGCATTGCATTGTTACTCAACTTCCTCTTACATTGGATGAAAATCTAATAACTAATAGGAAAGATACCATTTACTTATATACTCCAACTAGTTATCATTCTAGTTTGATTTCTATTTTTTTTTTCCAACGACTTGGAGCATAGTATATTTCCATTTCCTGTTAAGGTACTTGGCATCAAATGTTTAAGAATTGTTGTGTATATACGCACCTTTATATGGAGGGATATCTAATAAGGTCCTTAACTAAAGACCTGTTTGTCAACCGTTATATTAGATGCGGATGGAACCCACCAGGCATCTCAGTCATCCATGTATGATTTTTAGTTGAAAAACGTACCATTTTGTAAGGTATTTGAAAATAACTCTATATATAATTTCATTATGCATATATACTCAAGCATGCATTTTATAGTGTCTTCTTTTTATCATTTTTTACCCTGAATTTAGCATGGTGTCATTGAAGGACAAATATAACATGTATTCTTTTGATTTATGTTTGAAAACCTTAATAAATTTAAGTTGAATGTTTTTATTTTCCTATAATGATTCATTTCTTCTAAATAAGGATTTGGTTAAGTTGTCCAGTTTGAGTTGTTTGAACGCGATCTGAATCTAGTGCTGATTGTTATATTTATTGCATCAATACTTTAGAAATGTTCATATTTGCAGCCAGATGCTTTAAGATGTGGAATCCTAAATAATTTAATGGATTCTTACCTATTAACCTTTTTGTTTATGGAAGCAAGATGATTCCCAAGATCTAAGATACATGCTACATTGAAGTGGCAAGTGGAACCAACTAGATGTCAAACGTTAAACTCTTGTGCGGAACTGCTAAGAAAACAATAAGGCCACATCACACAAACCAATTCACATTCTAAATCAATTGATCTTGGGTGCTGCTGACTCGAGTGTTTTTTGTTTTTATAAAAAATTAATCGTTTAAGGCCTTTGCTTCTTTATTTAGTGCCTGGGAGAAGAAACCCCACAAGCATGGATTTCCTTATGTACAGGCACAGCAGATCTGTTGCTGACTCACGCCCCTCTTTTAATCCCGTTCAAAACATGTCCATGTGGGAGTTTGCCATGTCAGGCCTAAACATGCGTGCCAAAGAGAGATTTCTCTGCACCAAATTTCTTAGCTCGATGATCCTTCCATTGCAATACACTGAAAAATTTGTTCCTTATCCAGCTGCCAACTTCTTACTCGATGATTTAAGATCACATTTTTCCACTTACACTACATGCATTTTACCAACTTCTCATGTTTTCCCATTGTTGAAGTGGAATATTAGTAATGGAGGTGCACTCCCCTGAGCGCCTTAAACTCTGCATCAATGTTACAGCATTTATTTTTAGTTCTTAACTTTGCAGCTATTGGATAACTGCTCAATGTTTAGGCACTCTCGGGCACGTATTCTTAGGCATCAGTATACCGCAATTATTAAATAATAATGGTTCTAGGTTTAACTCCATAATCAGGGCATGTAACTCTGGTTTCGGTTCCCTGCCCTGACTTTTTAGTTGTAGGAACCTGAAATATGGCAAAGAGCCGACATTGAGGTGTCAAACCTTTCCATTGAAGTGAGCCCTTGGAGAAGATGGACCTTTATGGCTTAGGGTAACTTTTATCCATCGAGCTTGACATTATGAAGCTATCTTTATTGCATGGATGATTGTTTATTATTGTCTTTGCATGAATTCTAACCACTCTGAGGAGAAGACAATTCCAGGGCTAGACTCCAGTTTTTTGTTCTCCAATTTTTTCTGCTCAAATAAATTTTTTTGGTGCAGGTATCTGAAGCATCTGTTAGTAGAAATCGCAGTACTATCATTGTTCCTGCAGGGAGCGCCCGGGATGAAGGGTGGGCAGCATTTAGAAACATTTTGGCAGAGATCAATGAAGCATCCAGACTTTTTATACTGCCCAATCAGGTGTTCTTGTTTTTCATGCATAAATTTCCTATTTCTGGGTAATATAATTTTCTCTAGTATCTCACATGTCCTGTTAATTTCCACCTGGTTGTTTCCATGCCAAAGCAGCAAAGTTCTGAACCTTCAGAGCGTCTTGTTGGGCTTTCAGATGATGTAGGCGCTGGCTTCATATCTGGCCACAGTAGTCAAACTGCTCCAACTTCTGAACTGAATGTTGACAGATCTGGAGAGTTGCCTGCACAGGATGAAATTGGTAACATGGGGGTATCTAAAGTGATCAGAGCTGATCAAAAAAGATTCTTCTTTGATCTTGGGAGTAATAACAGGGGCCATTTCCTAAGAATATCCGAGGTATGCTTCAATAAATAAAAAGAAATTATTTCATTGAGACCCTAGGAGGATTTTCTTGTTCATTTTACTTTTAATTTAAGGTTTCTGACAGTAAATGAAGTCTTAATATCTTTAGATTCCGTTAAAATTGCAGGTTGCAGGTTCTGATCGCTCCTCCATAATTCTCCCGCTGTCAGGGCTCAAGCAGTTCCATGAAATAGTAGGTCACTTTGTGGAGATAACCAAAGACCGAATTGAAGGAATGACAGGTGCAAATGTTCGGACTGTGGATTCCCCCCAGAGGTAAATGGTTCCCTGGGGTTTGGTGATTAAACAAATAATACCAGTATATCAAGATTGCGTTAGAGGTACAAGTAGGTGTTTGATTAGGGGTGGGATTCTCCTCACAGTTGTGTTCTGTTATTTTCTTCTCTACCTCTATTCTCTCATTCAAGTCTGAAATAATCCGTTTTCTGATTGCTCAACTTAGAATTCGGAGAGGATTGCCATGCTTAATTTAAACAGGCAATAACAGAAAAAAAAACAGACCAGATACTTGTTGTAACTTGAGTTTGATAGTGTATCAACCTTCCAACTTAATAATGACCATTCCAGCTGTGCTTTGTTTTGTTCAGTAGCACAAATGTATCTACTTTATTTCTAGTTTCATAGATTGTGATGCAGGTTTTCAATTGTCTTAAGTGTAACCTTGGGGTTGGTGATGTTAGCCTTGAAGCTAAATCATGATGAGGGAAATAACTTGGTTTTGAGAGATATGCTACTTACTGCTGCTGGCAGATTGTAGAGATGATTAGCTTTTGCAGCGAGTGATGGCAGCTGTTACTTATAAATTGTTTACCTTGAGGAGCAAGTGTTAGCCATTCTTGTAATATCATATTCACACTGCTAGTGCTATCCCGCCGCTACATATGTCTGTATTTTTCTTTTCCTTTTTTTCATTTACGGGTAAATTTTCTCTGGCCCTGGTACCTTTACATCTTCTGATCATATCCTTAAATCTTGTTGTGTCGTGGATAACCCGGAGTCAAGTTGACGTCAAGAAGGTTAATTGAATTTATAGACACTGGATGATAGTTCTCTCATTTCTTCCATCAGTATCATCTTGCGAAAAATATAATTGACCGCAACTTTTTATACACCACAAAATGAATGGGAGTTGGAGCCTGAATATCAACGTTGAATATGACCTGTCATAGCTGCATTTTCCCCTTCATTTCTTGAAAACTTCAAATGTCGATTCCCATGTTTCCCAAGTAAAATGAAACATTTGACCTAAAAGCCGCATCTCTCTCTGACTGCTTCCAGCGCCTTCTCCTTGAAGGGGTCCTCATGTGTCCTCTTTCTCTGCTAATCGTAAAGGCGATTTCTCGCGTTCCCTATTGGAAGGTGTGAAAGAGCTCTTGCTCTTTTGCTTGCATAACCTCCGTCTACTCTCTTGGTGTTGGTCCTTTGGGGCTTCAGGTTGTGATTTCCCTAATCTTGCTATGATTGGTTGTTGGGTTTTCTGTTCGGGTTTGTTGAAGCTGATGCTTGGGTGGATGTCCTTGCGTTGGTGTGGTTCAGTGTTTTGGGGAATTTTGGTCCTGGCGGCAGATCTGTAAGTCTTTTGTATGCAGCTGTGTTGTTTTGTGTGGTGGGGTGTCTCCCCTCATTTTTTGCCACGGTGGTGTGAACTGAGCTTTATGCCTGATTTTGGGCTTTGATTAAGTGTTCAGGATCAGGACACTCAACACAGTCCAAGTTCATTACAGTGACTGAATAATTTTGCCAAGTCTGCAACAATTTTGGGTTTAATCACGCAAATTCTACATATAACTTCTTGATGAGGTTACTTTCCGTTCATTCACATAGGTTATCTACTTAGGTAAATGAACCTCACGTTTGATATAAGCAATTGGGGAGGGGAAACTAAACATAGATCTCCGACGCAAGGCTAAATACTCTTACCCACTTAAATATGCAGATTTTTTCATAAGGGACACTTTATTTGTTCTCAATCTATAATGTGAAAGGAGCACAAATGGCATTTGTCTTTTTATTTTTTATTTTTTATTTGGTAAGGAGGGCTAAAGCCCAACACAAACACTAAACAGCAACAAATCTAAGAGTAGAAACCCTACACAAATCATTAAACATTAATTGTCTCACCGCAGCAGGAGGAGAGTCCGAAATATGGAGATGCAAAGTCTCAGAGATCCCAGTTGAAGCAAGCGGTTTGTCTTTTTATTTGATTATACTTTTAAATGGTTTTCGATTAGTTGACGCTCGCTCGCTTGCATAATCATTCCTAAAGTATTATTCTTGAGTTTCTAGCTCTATAGCTCTATAGACAAATTTTTTTAGCAATAATATCATGAATCAACAAAATCAATAAATATATATATATATTTGCGGAGGGTCAGAGGAGGCCGTTTGCATTAGTTGTGGTTGCCATACTACAAGAACATCAAGGACAATATATATATATATATATATATATATATATAGAGAGAGAGAGAGAGAGAGAGAGAGAGAGAGAGAGAGAGAGAGGTGGTCCTAAATCACTTAAGAAGTAAAGACTCGTCACAGTCTATCTGGGTGAGTGGGAGTAAGCATCACAAACAATATTGGGTTCATCTGCGCATGCATGGACACCACACCATCTTCTCTGATAGGACTGATATGTTGATCTAGCTGTTTGTTAGGAATGAAAATGTGGGTTTAAACTTCAAAGTTCCCTTCTGCCCAAAAAAAAAACTTCAAATTTCGCTAGGAAGGGGAATGTTTTGAGATAGACCCCTACCTCAAACTCAAAGTGATCTGTCTCTCGGAGGACCAAAAAAAATTACAAAAAAAGAAAGATAGACCCCTACCAAACTACTTTTTCAAAGAAAAGGCGTTAGTACGTACTGCACTGCACTGCACTGGACTGATGGAAAAAAACAAAAAACACTGGCTCTCATGGAGTCTAACCGGTAAGTCTTTAATTTGGTGCACTCACTCAGACGTAGAGACACGACAACACATACACATACACAGAGAAGAAAGACCAATGAGTGAAATCCATCGTGAGTGTGTTCTTGTAGTATCCATATACATATGGCTATATATAGGTTTTTCATGTTCACCTAACAATTTGGTACATTTACGTAGTTTGATATGTAATGCAGGACAATATTTGAAAAGGGAATATTATATACTCTTTGGTTCTTTAATTTTATATTTGTTTATTATTTGATTAAGAATAAATATATATAAATATATTAGAATTGAAAATTTATTGCATTTTGGAAAGGGTTGATACACATGCATGATCATCAGCCACTCCACTGCTTAATGACCATTCCTTTTTGTTGTACAGTACACTAGTACGAACTCCTATTTATGCATAGTACGTAGATTGATGAGATCAGAGTTTAGGCGCCGGCGTTGTATGGAGGGGGCTTAGGCAAATCCTTGACAACGCCGCAGACGAGGGTGTTGTCTGGCAGGTTGTACTCGTCCCTGAGGGAGCGTGCTGGAGAGAGAACACTCACGTAGAACTGTTGTCCAAGGTAGCGCCTCTCGGATTGTTCTGACCTCACATTCCACATTCCAGCATTGTCGAAGGTCAACATGATGGCAGCCCAGGATTTGGGGAACACCTGGATGGTATGTCTGCTCACACCGTCCAAAAGGTTGTAGTTGTTTCTCTTTTCTGGGGTCCACCTCCCGGGCTCAATGCTGCATGCATGCGGCGCAAATAGTCATTCATTATTTATTGAACTAATAATAATAATTTGAAAAAACATCCCAAATCTAAATTACTTACGCCACCGCAAAGAAGGAGTATCCATCCACATTCCACGACTGAATGCTCTTCTCGTGGTTCTCAAAGATGATCTCCACGAAGTTACGGAAGGTCTGGTTGACAACGTTGGGTGCCAAGGTGACCTTGTCTTCAACTGTGGCGGGGGGCTCATCCTGGATGGTGTCGTACTTGAAGACCTTGTCGGCAACTCCATAGTACTCAGCCAGCTTGAGTGGGGTTTCGGGGTCCACGTGGGAGACTCCGTTGATAGCATAGCGGAGCTTGCCATCGACCTTGGTGGCGGAGTTGACGATCTTCATGGTGCGGGTGATGTTGATCTTGCCGTAGTGGTAAGAGCCCTGAGGGTTAGGCCTGGCAGCACTGGCAGTGAGGTTCCAGCGGAAGGAACGGAACTGGTTGAGAGACCAGGCCCATCCTACAGGAGCCTCGGGGAGCTCGGGGGACGCTGGGCCATTACCATTTTCGTAGCGCATGATGCCTTTGCCGGTCAACACCTTCTTGGTGAATCGGGTGGAGGCCACCATGTAGTAGTCCTTGGGGTCTTTGTCGGCAGTCACAAGCACCGAGAAGCATTGTCCCACGTGCACATCAAGCGACTCGTAGGTGTTCTGCACGGTGTGGGAGCCCTCCATCTCAACAAGCTTCATTGGGTGGCCTTGGATCCTGAAGTTGAGGGAGTTCTTGAGCCCCACGTTGCAGATCCTGTACTTGTAGGTCTTGCCTGGCTTTACGGTGAAGAGGGGCTCGTCTTTGCCGTCTCCCTTTGCTGATTTGCCGTTGATGATGACACCGTCAGGCCTTCCCATGGAGCGACCGCTGTCCAAGTGTTTCTTGAGAGCGGTGTGGCCTTTTGCGTACCAGTCACCGATGAGGACAGTATAGTCATCCTCTGGATCAGCATATGGAACGGGGATCAGCAGACGACTGTTGATGCGGAGGCCACCGAAGCCACCGGATGCCCTGTGCATGGCAGTGATGGGATAGTAAAAGTAGCTCCCAATCTGGTCCTTGACCTGGAAGCGGTAGGTGTAGTTCTGACCAGGGGGGATGGGGCACATGGTTCCAAGGGTTCCATCTTGCCATGAGTTCTTCCTCTGCTGGACACCGCTCCTGCATGAATTAATTCCATTTTTATTGGAGAGGTGGTCAGCAAAGTAGTCAATAAATAAATGTGATACAAATAGTTTGATTATGGAATATGTAAATCAATGAACGCGTAAGTACATATACGTACCATGTGAAAAGGAGTGGTTCATCAAGGTTATTGAAGACGTTGAGCACGATGTTATTGTTGCTGGTGGAGTTGATGTTGGGTCCCGGAAACTGGCCATTGATGAGAATTCCTTGTTGGGGGACTCCGAGGGGAGAGATTGTTCCGAAGGTGACATTCCATGTGAAGTACAGGTAAGGGTCTTCACCCTGGACTACCGATATTAAGCCAGCCGAGAGGCAGAGCAACAGCATATACATCATGGAACTCATCTCTCTTATTTCACCACTATTCAACCCTTTCCTCAAGCAATTATTATTTATTCGAAGAAGGAGATACTTGGTTCTTCTTCTACGATCTTCATCCTTCCCAATCCTTCCCTTTTATACACCTCTTTCACAATTTCTCAACCATTCAAACTTTCCGGGATCGTCTCTCAGCTCACCCTTTTTTCTTGTCCCTTACTTTGCGCCCGCCCTTTCATTTTCTTTTCTTCTTTTGTCCCCTTTAGACTCTATCTCTCTCAAACGCATGCACCAACAACAACCAAGACTACGTCAGGAAATTCCACGAATCCCGGCTCAGGCTGGACCTGGGAATTTCTTCTGCACCTGAAAATATTATGCGGGGCGAAATTCTGCACCCTTGGATACGATTAGGCCATGAACCGGAGCCGTCCAAATGCAATATTATCACGTGCGAAAATAACAAATGGGGCCATCTTTAATTTAGTATGTCTTTACAAAAGATAAAGAATTAATGTTTGCTATTTCAGTTTCTTCTCAAGTTCAAAAATCGAAATTATCAGAAAAGTACCAAATATGAGCAACGCTGCTTTTATGTACTATCTTAACCACATTTGGTCATAATTATCTTTATGGAGAAAAATAAATTTTCATCTCATACGTACGTGTTGGATAATTACTGGGAGATTTTCATCTCCGTGTTGATAAAATAGATAAAATATATTGATGTAACATTAATATTAATTAAGTCCTAGAAAATAAGTAAATATAA